CTCTGCAGCCTCTTTATGGAAATCATGAACAGGGCAAGCCGGTGAGCATTTGTGGTGTGAACAGGAACAAGGGTTCCAGTGCCACACACAGCAACAGCATCTGCCCTCTGGGGCCTCCATGTCTCCCAGATGTTGACCTGGAAAATTTTTACTCTTGTTAGCTTTCTTGGGCCTTTGAAGAAACACATGCATGTACACACACAAACATACATGCACACAACCCACATATGCATGCATGCACACACATGAACACATGCACAAAACATGCACATACATGGGCACTGTCACACGTGCATACAGACGTATGTGTGCACACATCTGCATGTGCCCACTTGTGTACACACGCAAACACATACATGGACACACAATCTTTTATATCTATTCAAGACATATTTTTTCCTCTTAAATAAAAATAATGTTTTAGGATAAGTGAATATGATGTAAAAGTTGTCTTGTCTTGGGCATCATAGGTGCATCTTCTGTCCTCTCCCAGAACCTGGGCCATGGCCACATGATTACTTGTTCTTTAGATGGATCTCCTTTTTTATATTTTCTTACTCCCTTGAAGTTCACTTTGTACATTTGGTACTAAGCATACTGTGACTTTTTGCAGTGTTTCCCTGTACTATAGTAGTTAAGGATGTCGTAGTGTTTCTATTATAAACATAAGTTTATAGGAATTTGTAATTTGTTTCAAAAATATTCAAGGATGTTGGTTTTGCACATTGGATTTCAGTGGTGCGCTTCTCTTTTCTGATTTATTTAAAAGTAGAATGGATATATTTGCTTATTCCATGCTCTCTTCCACTTAAATTTCAGACTGTATTACCCACCCATGAAAGACTGACATAGTGGAGTCTCTGTTTTACGGAGACCTCTAATATCTTCCAGAGAGACCGAGTGCAAGACCACACAGGGAAGAGGTAATGAAGGTGAATGAGGTTAAGTCAGAATCCAGAAGTCTCAGAGCAGCTGCCTTAAACTCACTTGTTTTACTTGGCAGGTGGCCCTGGGAGTACCTCTTCTTTCCTCCTACTTTTGGTGGCTTTGATCGATATGAGACCCTCAGGAACCAGCTTTACATACTTGGTCAGACTTTCTGCTGCTTGTTGATTCTGATAAGCCATGTGGTTATTATTGGTATTTAGATGTGGTGACCAGTGAAATGAGCAGGGTGAGTACAGCAGAGCAATCAGAGTCACAGCTGCAGCCGTCTGGTCTCTGAGAACCAAAAGCATAGCTCAGTTGACTTCATTCAGGAGCATTAGGCAAAGCCAAGGTCTTAAATCTAAAGAGTAGGCTCAGGGAAGCAGGGAACAGTGGGACTTCATACTGCACCCAGCAGCTTCTGGGATCCACCTGGAGTACAGGAACCTTTGCACAGGCAGGGGAGACTTGGAAGCTGAGAACTAGGGAGCCATAGGGGGCTGCCCCACAGGTACGGTGGCATTGGGGAAGCCAGACAGCAAGGCCATGGGCCCTGGGTCCAGTTCATTCAGGGGTGTCTGGGAGGAGCAAAAGTTCCCACAGTGGGTAGAGCCAAGGTCTTGGGAGCAAAGGAAACCCCGACTACCAGTACTACACTAGACATAAGCCGGTATAGCCTTCCACAGCAAGCACAGTCAGTACTGAAGAGGGCTACAAGGAAAGTAAAAGAGTGACGTGCGTTTCCTTTCATCTCTCTCCTTCCCTCTACTTCACATCTGATAGTGTTTCCTAAAAGCATACTTGGGTCACCTACAACTTAGGTTAAAATATGGATCTGAGAACTAAAACAAAAACCAGTTCTCTCTGAAGGGTACATGCTCAGTTCTTTTCCAGGCGTTTTCAGGGATATTTTCCCCGTATTAAGATTTTCTTTCATTCTTGTTTAATAAAGCAAATGATTAGTATGATTGACGTGCAGCTTTCAGGGATAAATGTTAGGTATATGCGTGTGTGTGTGTGTGTGTGTGTGTGTGTGCGCGCGCGCTTAGATGTACAGCTCAGTATAAAGGTGGTGGACTCAGATACCACAAAGATGATAAAACAGCTTCTCTTTAAGGTACTTCTCACACTTGAGGCTCTAGATTCCACACGGTCTCATTTCTCACTTCACTAGGTAAGTTCTACATGTGTGTTCCATGAACTATCACATCGCATTTTTATGTTAGCAAAACTCCCTCTTCTTTTGTCTCAGGAACATTCTCTTCTGTTATTACATTTGAATTTAGCTATTTGGGCCCTCCAAATAATAACTATTATCACAGCATTTTTTCTGAAGTATTGGCGTGATGCCTCAGTATACTAAACGAATATTCATGCTAAATACCTAAATGTGACATGGTTTTTTACTTGGTCTGCAAGTTGGCAGTAGGAAAAGAAATTCTGTATGGCGCTTGTGTGTTAACTGGAGCCATATCTAATGCGGTACTATAATCTACTTACAAATACAGTAGTTTTCTATCAGTATTCTGATACAGAGAGATGGGACACCAAGGCTCATCCTTCCAGGAAGCAGCTTTACTCATGCCAGCATGGGCTCAGTGGCCCAATACCCAAAAGGCTGAGCCCTGACCATTCCAGGTTTGGCCTTTTATGCAATTTTTGTGTTTTTGTCTCCCTTAAATGATAACTCACTAACCTACTGCAGCCTGATTGGGTACAGTCTGTTTTACAGAGTCATGCTAGAACTATACACGTGTATTCAGGAACTAAATGTGCCATGTTGCCTTTTTTGTTCTGGGAAGGCCCTCATTGCATTCCTTTGGGAAGGGCCCTGCCACAGTTTACTTAGAAGAACAGGCTCTCATAGAAATTATTTTACTGCTGAAATGATCACAGAGCATACAAATGCCAAACTGTATTCAAAGGACCTTTGCTTTTTACTTTCCAGAGGTCTTTGTCAAAGACTTCAGAAGCAACTTGGAGATTTGTCCTCTCTAATGACATCTGGCCAATTTTAGGTATCTGTGTAGTTTAGCTTTTGGTAGTGGTAGACAGATAGCCTTATAGTAACCAGTCATTTATTATTCTTTAGTGGTTTGGGGTCAGAAGCTGTTTCTGCAGTCTTTAGGTCTCCAGTCAAGGATTTTCAAGGTTATTTTAGTGGCATCCCTAATGAGGTGATAAAAATGGGTCATATACAGTAAAAAGTCCTGATTAAGTGATCATGCTGACCAGGGAGAATTTCCCTCGTAGATGTACATAAGGTCTTTGCCTTGGTCCAATGAGCCAAGCACGTGAGCCTGGGTGGATACCATGGTGGCTGCATACACCATGTGGGTCAAGAGCATGGCACAGCACAAAGAGCTGAGGTGACCAGGGCCAGTGCTGTGGTCAGAATGGAGAGAAAACATGAAACCATGTTTATCTAAGGAAGAACTAAAGGAGCTAGGATGTTTGTTTTGGAGGAGAGGGCACAGAATCACTATCTGCACAGACATAAAGGGCTGCAGTAGAGGAGAACAGTTAGATTGGAGGCCACTGGAACAGATTTGGGCTCAGATAGTGAGTCACTTCTTGCTGCTTATACATGTCCTGGGTGAGCTACTTCAGAAGTTGTATCAGTTCAGATCTTGAAGATGGCCATGTCTAGGTACATGATTGCTGCATTACAAATGATCTGGGAAACCCTCTGACGCCTAGGATCCTGCTACTGCTTTTCACTGTCTCCATGCTGCAAATGTTTCTGGACCACTGTCCATGTTCTGAGAGCTCCTGGCTGGGCCTTGTAAGAGCACTGGCCAGAGAGGGCACAAGTCTCAGGCTGAGAATGGTCTATAGGGCCATGTGGAAGCTGGCCATATAAAGGGTGGAGGCCAAGCACTGGCCCTGGTGGAGGAAGGAGTGGTGTAGGTGTAGGGTAGTGGGTACAGTGCAGCAGGATGGTTCCTGGGCGGATGCTCCTTAAGTGCTGAACTGAGACTTGGGTTTGGGAGTTGTGCCCTAGGGTAACTCACTGGGCTTGCACATAGGAGGGTTAAGGATGGAGGTAACAAGCAGTGAGGCCCCTGTGTGTGAGGCTGAGGTTTCTTACCTCCAGTGTAAGGGCCTGAGTGGTTCTGCAATATTCTATGAGAATCAGTTCACTTAATGTCTTCCTTTATAATTCCACTTTGGCCCACAGTGTCATTGGCATTATAAGCCTTTGGGTACAGATGGAATCACATTGGCACTAACACTCCTATTTTAGCCACATGTCCCAGTGCCCCTGGACCCCCTTGGAGATCTCACCCAGTTACCTCTGGGACCCTTAGGATACCTCACGGATGGATCAGCTGACCTCCGCACTCTGCTCTCACTCCTGTCACAGGTATCACCTGCAAGGGCGCCCACTGGTGCCCACATCCTCTGTCACACTGCTGACAGTGCTGAGGTCCTGGAAATGCAGCTCTCATGTTGCAAAGTTGACACAGCACTTCACTGCCACATCGCCACACTGTTCCCAGCACAAGTAACGTAACTTGTCGACTTCCGTGTTTTGTGCCTCTTTTTGTCACTCGATAGTGAAATGGGACAAAATGGTCCCTGTGTCTCACAAAATCCCTCTTGAAGTGAGCCCTTTGGTTTCAGCCTCACAGATGTGGCACTATAGCTGAGGCAGCAGGGTTCTTTCTCCATTGCAGGGTTCGCCAGGTATCCAGGGATCCCCGGTCTGGGTCAGCTTTTCTGAGGAGAATGTAAGGCAGCTGCCCACCAGGCCATCCGATGGACTGCACAGAGGTTAATCTGATTGTCACTACTTGCACTCTTCCTGACACAGGGCTGGTCACTTCTTACAGATCATCTCGGTTGTCCTGGTCCTCGAGAGGGAGGCCAGGAGAAATCAGTGGCTTGCTCAAGGAAAAACAGAACACAGAGCTAAGTCCCCAACCAGGCTGGCCTACAGCATTGCAGGCTCCAAGCTTTGTTCCAGCACTTGCCCCTGAGTGATCGTCTGCACAACCAGGTCAGCAGTGAAGTATCCACTTGGCTTCTTATCTTCTTTGTGTAAACTCAACATTGCCTTCTCCCTACAGGGCTGGGAAGAGACCGTGGACACTGCTGTTTCCCACCTATTGAAAACCTGCCTGTCAAAGAGTTCCAAGGAGCAGGCTTTGAACCTCAGTAGCCACCTGAACATGCCCAAAGACACGAGCCGGCTAAAGAAACACATCACCCTGCTGTGCGACAGACTGGCCAAAGGTGGCCGTCTCTGCCTCAGTGCCGACATGGCCACACCGCAGACCATTGTCATGCCAGGTAAAGGCTCTGTCCTGCTCTCTGAGCACAGCTTCCATTCCTCAAAGGGCTGTGCCCATGGTTGGATTGGGGCTTAGATTTAATATTAAAGTAATGATACCCAGGAAAATTGCTTTCATGTTTCCTGCAAATATCCCTTGGTAACCGCTTGATAAATATTCTCGGGGTATTTGCTTGCTAGACATTTCCCAGATGGGATATCCTTAGAAAATAGAATCCATCTACTTTTAAGTATATGATCCATTTTGTTTTGCCTCTATAAAAAATGAATTAGAGAATATAACTGTTTTTAAGGAAATTTACCAATTGTCATCTCCCTGTACTGTATTTCTTGAATGTACATAGCATAACGCAGACACTAATGCCCTCCAGTTAGTCAGTAAACCTCCTCAGTGTACTTGGACTGTGGTCATCAAAATGAGGGAGCAGACACAGGGATTGACCAAGGATCCAGCAAGATTTAGGCCCAAGGCACGTGTGGGCCAGCTCGCCCAACCTGACATCAGTGAGGAACTCCCTCTGGGGCTAAACAACCAGTTGCGCAGCTTGGGTTCCTTCCAGACAGCTGTGCCAAGTCCCATCTCCCCTTCCTCAAATCCGCAGCAGCCGCAAGAACCATGATACAAACAAACATTAATGTGACAGCAGTGGCGTTGGCATCTGTTTCTCTCATAGCTTAGGAGGTGGGGTTGCCTTTTCTGCTTCTTTCTTACTTGCCTTTCGTGCACCCCCTCCCCATCCTGGTGCTTTCACAGTTGCCTTCTTACCCCCTCCATCAGCATGCATAGAAGTGAAAAGGGATACATGTGAAACCTTAAAAAGATAAACAGCGCACAGCACAGTGTAATCTAGTAAGCATGGTCTCTGGAGGCAGACAGATCAGTGCTCGGATCCTACTTGATCCCTTACTACTTAGATGGCCCAGGTGTGTTATTCAGCAGTGAAGTGTCTTCCTCGGTGGGTGAGCATAGTCATGCTTGCCTTATTGCCAGGGTCTTATACCTAACTCAGCACTTGGGATAGAGACACAATAAAAAAACTTGAGCGTAATGAGTACCAGTGTTGATATATAATAATCTAGCCTCTCAATTTAGAAATGAGAAAGCATCTGGCATGGAGTCATACAGGATTCCATATAATATGGTTTGAGACATTATTACCTTGAAACATTGTTAACCCGACTTTTACTCCAAAAGCAGCCTCTTATTTGGCCTTTCAAGGTAGAAATGCCTTCTACAGAGACAGTTCTGACACTGCTGGCCTTCACACAGGTCCTCTTCAGCTCACCGCATAGCGCCCTCCTGAGCTGACCACTGGCCTCTGTGTACCCATCTCTGTCCACTAGTGCAAGATATTTTCCTAAGAAATAAACATTAATGCCTGCTGAGATGGTAAATGAAAACTCTCGATTAAACTGTCCATCAGGAAATGGCTCTCCCTCCCTGTCTGCCACGGGAGAATCAAGGGGCTTTAGTGAGAAAAGGACAGCTGTGTAAAAGAAAGATCTGAAGAGAATGAGGCCAGCCTGCCTGGTCAGCAGGTCCCCTGTCAGACTGGCAACAGAGACACAGGTTCTCTCCAGAGAGGAGCGAGCAGGAGGAGCCCGGGAACACGAGGGTGGGCACAGGCCCCCACTGCCTGGTCTCACTCACTAACCACAGAGCTCTCGTACCTTACTTTCTAGGACTGAGCGATGTGATGGCTGTTTCCATATCTGGGATAGAGAGCAGTGAAGCCTTCAATAGAGGATATTTGAGTAGGTGGAACCAAGTGGCAGAGGAGAGGAGAGGAGAGCAGGGAGGGAGGCAGAAGTGAAAAAAGGAAGAGCTGAAGACGTGCTCTGTAGCCCGTTCATGCCCATCGTGTGCTCCACGCATGGCCAGGTAGGGAGACAGAGGCCATGTGTAGGTGTGTCACTGCCGCAGCCACACTGCTTGCTCACACTGCAAATGACTCATTGGCCACTTGGTCCAACAGCTCTCCTCCACTTTATTTAGATTTAATCATTGTAGTGAGTTTTTAAAAATCATTGCATCAACGTCTGTCATTAGCGTGGTCGCTCACTACCTGTAATACTTTTCCTCCCATTATGGCTTGTGTCTAGATGTCCCCCCAGAGCCTCATGAGGTCATAGGAGGGGGCTTTTTCAGAAGTGGCTGCATGTAGCATGTGAGGGTACTAGGATTAAGGGTGTGAGTACTACCCCCCCAAAGTTGTATGCGTAGGATAAAAGGGGCAGAAAGGAGCCATGAAGGTCCCTTGTTGCTTTTGCTACCATGTGAGGGCCATGAACTTGTTCTCGTCTATGACGCCCCTCTTCCATGTGCCACCCTGCCGTGGAACCAGCTGATTATGGACTGAAACCTCTACAAACTGTCAAGTAAATAAACCTCCCTCTTTTAATTTAGGGTGTTCATATTTTGTTTCAGCAATGAGAGAAAAGTAACTAAAGACAGAAATTGGTACCAGAGAAGTGGGGTTGTTTCTATAACTATATCTGATCATGGGGTTTAGAAGCCTTTGGAGCTGGCTTGTGGGAAGAGTTGGGAAAGGTTTGGAGATACTGGCTGAAAAAATAGAGCTGGAACACTTAGGTTGTACTTGATGGTGGATTCTGATCAGAGCTCAGAAGACCAGAATGCTAAAAAAAAAGATGCCTGTAAAGACCAGGCTCAGGAGGTTTCTGCTGGGAAGAAGGAGATTGCATTGGCTGTTAGACTCCAGACCTTGTGTGTTATGGCTTGGCAGAAAGTTTGTCTGCATTTTGCTCAAGTCCAAAGACTTTTTCTGAGATGGAGATTAAGAGTGGTGGACTAATTAATCTGGCAGAAGAAATTTCAAAGCAGTCTAATGCTGAGGCCATTGCATGGCTGCTATTGGGAGCTTTTAGCCAGATGTATGTTGAGAGTCAAGAGCAGAGAGCCCAGCAGAAATTTTTTTCTTTCCTTTATTGAGTTTATTGGTACATTTAAGGTGTACAGTACAATTACGTTCATCATTGGGATCTTGTACCTTTACATGACAGGTCTTGGTTCTCATTTTTTTCCCCTTTTCCATGCCCTCCCTTCACTCCCTCCTCCCCTCCCCATTTACAAACACTTTATTTCCATTTTTTCATTTTCTCATATTTTTTTTTCTTTTCCCTTATTCCCTTTCCCCTACCCTTCCCATTTTCCCTACACCTTTAGCCCTTTTCTTCCTATTTCACATGGACTGAGATTCCAGCAGAAATTTTTAAGACATTTTGAGTTTGGCCAGAAAGGAAACCCAGTAAAACTGTGGACTGGAAAGATAGAGCAGAGGAGATCTTGATTGCTGAGAAGGAACCGGACATAAAAAAGATGGCCAGAGGGCATCACAAGAAGCAAACTGAGATTCCAGCAGAAATTTTTAAGACATTTTGAGTTTGGCCAGAAAGGAAACCCAGTAAAACTGTGGACTGGAAAGATAGAGCAGAGGAGATCTTGATTGCTGAGAAGGAACCGGACATAAAAAAGATGGCCAGAGGGCATCACAAGAAGCAGAACTTTAAAGCCTCACAATTGCAAAAGTGAAAGACTTTGCTTTGAGAAGAGAGCCCTAGAGCACCCTGAATGGCAGCGGCCTAGGGAAGTTGTTCCTTGGGTTTAGGTTCATAGGCATTGGACTCCTACAGCCAAGAGAGAAGCCTGGCTACTGCTCCAGCTGACAGCAGATCTCGGCATCAGCCATGTGGTGCTGGTTTTAGGTGAATGCAAGGTGTGTGGGGTCAGGAAGGCTTCCACCCAGATTTCAGGAGAAGGCCTGGGAGGCAAGACAGGGTGCCCCCTGAGAAGGCAGTGTGTGAAGCTGTGAATGTAAAGCCAAAGGTGCCCCAGAAATTTGGAGAAGCCAGAAACATAGATTGAGGAAAACTGCAAGGAGAAAGTAGAACGGGCCTGAGAGAGAATCCATGGGAGCTGCAACCACAGAAGTGCCGTATGGGTGGGGCTACCCAAGTCCTTTGGAGTTCACGACTTGCTACAGATCACTGGGATACCGGAAGTAAAACTGGGATTAAATGTCTGCCCTGCTGGATTTTCGACTTGATTTGGTACCATTCCTTTGTATCCCCGTTTGTAACTCTCGGAATGGAAATGTCTCCCTGGTTCCACTACATGTTGGAAGTGTTTGACTTTCTTTTCATTTGTATATGGGCTTTTAGCTAAGAGTTTGCCTTACATCCCAGGGGAGTCTTTGGACTTGGCCTTTTCCAATGTTAAAAATAGAAGGACTTTTGGCACCTCTTGGAAATAAACTCAATACCTTTTACATAAAGGAATGTGCGTGAGTCATTTAGGGGCAGGGGTGGAATGTTATGGCTTGTGTCTAGGTATCCCCCAAAGCCTCATGTGGTCATAAAGGGTACTTTTTCAAGGGTGGCTGAACCTAGAGAATATACTACTGGGATTGATTCATGGTGCAGTGCTGGGCTCAAAGGCACTAGGATTAAGGGTGTGAGTTCTACCTGCCCTAAGTAGTCTGGAGGAGATAAAGGGGGCAGAAAGATGCCGTTACGGTTCCTTGTTATTTATGCTACTCTGTGAGTGCCTTGAACTGTTTGTTCTCTCTGATGCCACTCTGGCAAGCCAGCTTGCCTTGGAGCCAGCTGATTATGGACTGAACCTCTACAAACTGCTGTGAAGTAAATGTATCTTTTCCCTTTTAATTTGGGGTGTCGATATTTTGTCTCAGCAACAACAACAACAAAAAGTAAGACAGCTCCCTGGAACTCAAAAATTTTCCCATACTTTACCCTTATTACAGTACATTTTTGAGGTAGAAGAAACATTAAGAATTAGTACTACTTACAGATAGGAGAGAGAGAGGCAGGAAGGGAGAAGTATTTTGCTATCTGTCTGAAGTTCCATGGTCACTGGGAGGTTGGGCCTGGAGTGGAGCTCTCCAGCCCACCTGCTCCCTACAGACCAAGGATCACAAGGATGCAGGCTGCATCCAGCCAGGGCCACCTGTGTAAGCTG